GTTTCGGGCCTAGACATTTCTGAAGAAGGGTCTAGGCCCGAAACGTCAGCCTTCCTGCTCCTCTGATGCTGCTTGGCCTGCTGTGTTCATCCAACTCTACACCTTGTTATCACTGGGCTGTGAGGTGTCTTGTGTTTCGAGCTGTTTGGATCTCCATTGAATTCAAGGTTGAGGGAGACCTTCTGTCTCTTGGGATTTCCTGCTTACAAAGTATTGATAATAATTACATCGGTTGTTTGGAAGACTTTTAGCTAGTTTGATGCTTTTTGCTGGAACTCTGATAGATAGCTTCTAGCTGATTGTAAAAGCAGACAGAACACATGCCTGCCTTATCATCTGATCTTTCACAAGTTTAATGTACTTTTGCCTTATGTTGTCGTTTAACACCTTAACAGTTTGAGACAGTCGGTCTTTGAGTGACTTTCCCCTCTCTGGAGGTTGCAAAGAAGATGGCATGAAGAGCAAATAATTAGCCTCAGAGAGACACTGCCCCCCACACACCCCCACCCCTTCCTGCAACCTCAGCAATCGATCTTTGTGCGGGAGCCCTACGTCTGATCATCTCACCCCACCACTAGCCTGATTACTAGCTTTCCAGGAAACCAGGGCAGCCTGCCTGTCGGGTTGTTTTGGGGTCTCCATTTCCTCAATCCAGGGACAATCAGAGGCTGGGATGGACTGCTGAAAGGCCTCATCAGACAACGCTGTGCTGCAGTGTATTTTATTTAATTCTTTGTCTCAGTCAGTATTTGTGGCTGGGATTGAGGTTTTCTTGTCTCAGTGACGTCTGTGGTTGGGCTTTTGTGCCTTTCATGATGGTTGCCATGTTCTTTTAACTGTATGCCTTGGTTGGTTTGCTTTTGAAACCAACTTCCATCGTTCCAAAGTATTTTTGCTACATTTATTGAAAAGTAAGGTCTGTTCGTTCTTCTTCCATTTTTTCTTTGACAGGAAGGGAGTTAGTGCAGTTGAGAATGTGGGTCGCCCAGTCGTTGTTCTGAACTACCATAAACTCCAGCGGAAACAGTCATGGAATAACCAACTGCTTGATATTGCCCCACTCATTATGAGGAAGCAGCTGGCCACCAGCTACAGCCTCCCCACAAAATAGCAGCTAGTATTGAGTCTGCATTGAGTACAGTGGAATGAATATTATAAAACCTCTACTGCATGACATTTTTTTGTACTATTGTAGTCCCAAAGTAATCAAAAACAACTGTGTATGCAAATTGTGCAATCACTGGAAGTTGCTTTGTCCAGTGGAAGTTGGTCAATTCATGTCACAATTGCTGAGCACGGCTCTGGTTAGCTGACTATGGGAAGGATGTTATCGCCCTTGAGAGGTTATGTCGCCGAACAATACAAATGTTTCCTTGTCTCAAGGATTTATACCATGAGGGTATGTTTAAAAAAAAAATCAGGCTTGTTTTCTATGAAAAAGAGGTGACTCAAGTGATTTAATCAGAGTTTTCAAATTTTGAAGGGAGATTACAGAATTATTTCAGCTAAATTATTCATCACAACAATGACTAACGTGTAAATATTGAAATTGGAAACTAAGGATTAACAAGGGGTGTAATTGGAATCTTGGCTCGCAAGGGAATTGGAACAGAAGGTGCCAAAGATTAGCAAAATAATTAGATGTGTGTCTTGTGAAAGAAAGTCTGAAAAATATGTTAAGAGGACAAGTGGTTGAGTTGGTGTTTGAAAAAGGGACTATTTCTTTCAGCATAATGGATTTCCTCAAATTTTCCAGAGAAATTTTCACCATCTCTACACTAAATTATAGCTGTAGATGAATGAATACACATATTTCATTATATTGCATTGGTAGCATTTAATCTTGATCAGCCTTTATAGTGGTGTACTAATGAACATGACCGCATTCAGAAATGCCTCAAATAAAAAATCCAGTTGTGGATCACAACATTTTGTGTTATAAATTCTACAAAATTTCTTCACTTACTTCAGCTTCATTTGAAGTTCAGAGGTTGCTGATAAACAGCATTAATAGTTTAAAAAAAAGTATCTGGGAAATAAAGTTTTCCTCTAAAGCCATGACTAGAGGCCAGGGGAGTGCAACAGCAGTTCAGATCAATAGAGAGGTAGCAGCAAGGTTTGTCCTGCAATGGCACATATGAACTGCATGATCAGCGGGAAGTGGAAGGAGCAAACCATTGATGTCCTCCACTAGAAAAGGAAGAAAGTTGGCAAATGCAAGGATGTTCACGTACCTTATACAGTCTGGAGACTACCTGGTGTTGGAAATGGCATCCTTAGTATAGGAATGTTGTGCAGCATGGGCAACATAATGTAGTGGGATCAAAGCACATTTTTACTGTGTTGAAAAATTGCTCTACTTCGATACAATTCAATTTAAGTGGGTATTTCAAGTTACAAAGAGACAGTCTCTGAAATTATTCCTGCAATTTGCACAGTGAAAATTATTAAAGTAAATTCACATTTTCAGCCCTTCCACTGTACAGCTGTACAAATTCAGTTGACGTGTCAAGAATTTATGCCCATGCCAACTCACAACCTTAAAATAAATAGGCTAAAAGCTCTCATGCATACTCCCAGTGGGGCAAATCATTGCTAAAGACAAAATTTGTTTTACAAGTTATGTGTATTTCCCTTTCCAATAGATGTCCAACACCTTCCCTGTAAAAAATATTCCAAAAATATCCAGTCTCAGCCTCTGCTAGAGTGAATTTTCATAGGTGGGAAGAGTGGTTTCTGCCATTTATCTGCCAAAAGAGATACAGAATGCTGTAGGAAAATAAAGTTAATTCCTGAGGAGATTCAGGCTGAGTACATTTTCATCAGAATCCTGCTGACAAACACTACAGAAATCAAAACGTGGCATTAGCAGTAATGCACTTTTTCCATTTCATGATACATTAGGTCAAAACTGTACTGGAGCCAGGCATCTCATGGCCTGTGCCATTAGTTACACCATTTCCCGCACGTTTCCCTCTTTGACATAATTTACCCAGTAAGTTACTGAAGGTGGAAACACAATGGAATATGTGGAACCTTAGTAAATGGCAGGACTAAAAATTGTTTCCTTGACTGAAGAAATTTAATGATTGAGAAACGAACAGAGATACAACAGAGGGTCAGTTTCAGTCAAATCAGAGAAAGAGAGAAAGAAGGGTGGAATAAAAGAAAACGGACAGAATAGAAAAGTAAGTGGAGTTTTAAAATTGTGAACAGCTATTTACTTCATGTAGGAATTAGAATGACGAGTTTAAATCGTTCCTTTTTTGGGTCAACGTTGAATTAGTAATTATCACATCATTAACTAGCCACATAACACAGTAACTTGCATGTTCCAACTTTTTGCATTGAGTTGAACAAGTAATTAATGCATAATTGCAGCAACAACTGAAATGATGAGATGCCTTCTGCACAAATGAAGCACAAAATGGCAGAAGCTGAATGCAATATTTCCACAACTGCTGTTGCATTTTTTTTGAAAACACCTTTATTGTCCAGCACTCTTTGGTCTCTCAGGCATACATTCAGCACTTTGTACAAGCCAGCAGTAATTGGTGATTTTTTTTTTTAATTGTCGATGCAGGAAATTCTCAGAGGAAGGGGAAATGGACAAAGTAACAGCGGCCATGGTCCTGACCAGCCTTTCCACCAGTCCACTCGTCCGCAGTCCTCCCTCTACTGTCCGTGTTGCAGGTAAGTCACTAAATTCAGTTTATTTACCCAGGATCACTTCGGTAAAATTGAATCCAAGTTACGACTCTTAATTTCATTTCTGCAGTAAGATTTTCCATTGCATGCAAAATTTCAAGGGATTGGAGAGTGAATTTTGTTTACCTACGCTTCTTATGTACAATTTGTAAAATCCCTTGTCCTGGAAGCACAGCCTACTGCACATTAATATGTTGTAGAATTTTAATGAACATGTTTGACCACTTAGTATTGTCAACTAGCAGCCTTGCTGAGCCATGACTTAAAACATGGTTTAAAGGCTTTCGCATGTCTAGTGGTTACTTCCAGTGTTTCCTATTTCTTGATTCGAAAAATGTCTGCTGGTAGATCTTGTTTAGGAAGGTTACTTGTTATGGGGCACCGAGATGGAAGGGGTAGAGGAGGAAGATTATTACTCAGTGAATGGCAGGTCACTAGGAAGCTCAGAGGAACAGAGGGATCTTTGGGTCCCCTTGTCCACAGATCCCTGAAAGCAGCAGGACAGATTAATAGGAAAGTTAAAAAGGCATACAGGACACTTGCCTTTGTCAGTTATAACATAGATTATAATAGCAGTAATGTTATGTTGGAGCTATACAAAACTTGGGTTAGGCCACAGCTGCAGTACTGTGTGTAGCTCTGGTCACTGCACTGTGTGAATCATTGGCGTGAGATCATTTATTCCCGAGAGGGCATAATCTCACCTGCAGTGTGGTCCCTCTTAAATAGCAATCTAGGCTGGCAGGCTGGTAGACAGTAAAAGGGGCATTGATGGGTTGGGAGGACAGATGTTGCTTTCCTGAGTAAAGATAGGATGAAAATTACTGCATGTCACTTCCCCAAGATGGAGCACTCAGCAATGGTAACTATCTGCTGCAGGACTCATTGCTGGGCCACTGTAAGTAACGGGATGTCCTTTTACACAATGAAATCCTCAACCCTGCTACCAGCAGTCTGAACTTGCATGATGTTGGGACTGTGTTCTTGTTCTGATTTGTTATTAGCATCAGCCATAACAATACCGAATCAGGCCTTTATTGATGAGACATCAAACTGCACTGTCCAGTATGTGCTTTAAGCTGAATTGCGACATGAGCACTGTGTCTTTAATGAGTTTATCCAACATGGGTCCTTGGGCATATTGCATTACACAATGCAATGAGCACAGCACAACCCTTACATTAAATCTGCCTTTGATTTGTGGATTGTGTGCATGCAACCCTTGAAAACACGGCACATCAAAGATACCTAAAAGTGAAAACAGAATGGCAACAAGGTGCAGTTAACTCCTCTCAATCTGTTATGGTATATAGGCCCATTTAGCTTCTTTTAAAAATGATATTACAATAAACACGAGCAACCAGCCAAATCCACAGGACCATCATGGCTCCCCCACATTCCAACAGTTTCTCATTCGTGCTTCAGATCCATTCATAACATCTCATTTTCAGCAGAAAGCTGTTTTAGCTCATTGCATGCTGATCTCACAAACACACCAGGATATCGCAGTTCACTGGAATGTGTACCCTCCTTTCCAGCCAGCTGACATTGTAACAGTCTGAATTTCACTGGATCCCGTGGACATATGGGGCTTGTTGCATGTGCTGCGATAGAAGCTGTGATGCCGGCCTTCAGAATAGGCATTATTGTCGAGGCCACAAGATTACAATTTGAGTTGTACAATACTTCCCTGCTGGAAAGGATGAACTTTGCACAAAGCCCTGCAGAATGCATGTGGGACCTCACTTTGTATGCCATCCTTGTCTGTTGCCCTGCCCAACAGACCACTCAGTCCAGATGACTCACCACATGCAGAACTCACCCCGTGCCCTACCCTTTAAATTTTGTGAAATTGAATAATGTCGCATCTTCATCATCACTGTCTTCTTGCTTTGCCCCACTGCCTGGACCAGTTGCACGCTCAGTGTCTGAATGGAGAAAGGTCCAAGAAAAAGTTGTAGTGCAGTGTCAGGGGACATAAGAGCATGCTTACACCATTTGCACATCTAAAGATGTGCAGGCTGGTTGTATTAGCCATGGGAAATCCAGGGTTATGGGGATGGGATGGGTGTGTGGGTCTGGCGGAGGGTCAGTGCAGACATGTTGGGCTGAATAGCCTCTTTCTGCTCCATAGGGACTCTATGGTTCTATGATCTGTTACTTATATACATCAGTAGAGAATGTGGGATAAGTGAAAGAAATATGTTGTGAGTGGGACAATTAAGTATGAAGATACTGTCCGCTACCATGTTTTCAAAACCACCACTGATCACAAACTTAACAGTGATTGCCCCAGTAATGTCCAGTACCAACACCTCCATGGGGATGAGGACTTGCAGCCATGCCTGTCACCTTTCATATATGTGCCTCCAATCGTATGTCAGTTTGTCCTGCATGAGCGGAATGTGTGTCAGTGAGTTTAGGACAATCTCTTTAGGTGATGTATCTGTCCTAGGTGACCAGCTGGCTGTGTATCCAAGCTGTGAGATGTGGGTGTGTGGTCTACCACAATGTTGTGTGTGTGAGAGGAAGTGAGTGAAGCTGATTAATTGAGGTAGGTGAGTGATAGGAGTGAGATGATTTGAAGAGATTTCAAGGGTGTTGTTCAATTGGTAGAATATAGCATTTAAAGGTACATTTGCTGACCTTGACTCCTGCTATAAGGGCATTGAATTTGGGTCGAAGGGTTCAGGTCCTGAGGGCATGACCCCTGGGGTCCCTTTCTCATAGATGATGTCTCTCCTCCACTATAACTCCTGTACCAAGGTTCCAGTACTGGATCTGAACATTTCGAGCCCTGCGCTCCTATATTGTGCTATTCTTCAATATTTCTCAGTTCCAAATCAGTTCCCAAATAATTGCCAGAGCCCCAGGTACCTTCAAAAGGTGCAGGCTAACATTAAACAGCACAGGGGAGCTTCCAATGATGCCAGCCTCTCATAATATTGGAAGGTTTGCTGATGGTTCCAGCTAATCAACAGAGCGGTTAGTGCAGGTTGCGTCCTTCAGTCATTGAAATGTGTGATCACTACAAAGTTGGCGTGCAGCATGCGTTGTAATCAACGGATGTGTGCACATCGTGAACTTTGTGCTCGGTTTCAGGGGCTATCAGTTTAGTCCCTGGGGAAGTCAAAATCATTCAGGAGAAATGGAGGGAAGAAGTGATGGGGAGAGGTGGATGAGGAAAGGCGGACTCTAAGAGGAGGATAAAAGAAGCCAAAAGTCAGAGAGTGGTACAAGAGAAGGGTGCCATTAATTTTCTTTCTAGGGCTGGGCAGTGGGGCGAAGGAAAGAAGGTGAGAATTTGAGGTAGGGGACCTGAGTTGGGGTAGTGGGAAGGAGGACAGGGAAATGAAGAGGTGGGACAGGAGGAGAAAATGAGAAACTGTTATGTTCTATAGCTGTCAGGCATTCAGCTCCACCACATTCCCATCCACGTAATAATCTACTCCAATGTGACAAAGGCAGCAACGTCGCAAGATCATTGGAAGTTACACAGCGTCCCTGTGTGCTATAAAAATGCTGCTGTTGACTGGGAATTTCTACTGCATTTTGTGTGCCAGATCAGAACGGTTCCTGGAAGGAGGGAGCGAACATGTCATCAAGCTACAGCAGCAGTGGCAACTGGAGCTGGGGTGCCCCGAGTGATCAGTCAAATCCATCCACCCCATCACCACCCTTATTGGCCGACAGCTTCAAACCTTTCCGTGGAGCTGTCCAACCAGATGACAGCATTGATGAGGCAGACTCCAGTAACCTGTTGTTTGATGAGCCTATACCAAGGAAACGAAAGGTATGTTGAAGATATTCTAGATCCTGTTTAGAGTTCTTCGTCTATCTTGCAAACTATCAACAGACCTCTGGTGTTTTCTTTCTAAAGTATTTGTCTGGCTTGCTCAAATCTATGATCATCTCTCGCACAGTTATTTGTTTGACCCTCCAGTGTCACCAAAGTTATCTTATTCTAAAATTGTGAGTGACATTTTAGCTGGGGTTTTGCCTTTTTTTCAGTCTTAAGTGTGGGAGGGGCATCTTTAGGAACGAGCCGCTGTCCCCTGCCAAACCACAAATCAAATGAGAAAACCTACTGGACCAAGCAGCACATCAAGTACCAGCATGATGGCCAAGTGACTTTTCAGCTCCTGGCATAGCAACACCACGCTCCCTGCCTGAAACTGACAGGTAACAGTCACTGTGAGGAGCAGGGCCACACTACCGACCGAGAGCAGAGGGAAGCTGCATGTTGATTGGAGAGGGACATGATCGTGGTGTGGAGCCTGTGTGGAGAGGTGTGCCAGGGATTTGGATCAAAGACCAGGGAGACTTTCAGTGCCTACCCACTCCTGCACTTGACCATGCCTCTGATTGTCCCCAAACTGGGGCAACTCAACCTGGCAGGGAGCCTCTCCCATTGTGGCAGTCAGAACGCCTGTCACTTCTGCTGCCTGCCATTAACCACGTTAATTGCCTGCCTAATGGCCTTAAGTGGCAATCGACCAGGAAGATGGCAAAATGGGCTTTCCTGCCCCGAAATTAATTGCTGAGCTGTCAGGATAGGGATGGGTATCTTTTCTATTAATTCACAGGATGAGGGCGTCACTGGCTAGGGCAGCATTTATTGCCCATCCCTAATTGCCCAGAGGGCAGTTCAGAGTCAACCACATTGCTGTGGGTCTGGAGTCACATGTAGGCCAGACCAGGTAAGGATGGCAGTTTCCTTCCCTAAAGGACATTAGTGAACTAGATGGGTTCTTTATGACAATCAGCAATGGATTCACAGTCATCATTAGATTCTTAATTCCAGATATTTTTATTGAATTCAAATTCTACTATCTGCCATGGTGGGATGCGAACCCGGGTCCCCGGAACATTAGAGATAACAAGGTGTAGAGCTGGATGAACACAGCAGGCCAAGCAGCATCAGAGGAGCAGGAAGGCTGACGTTTCGGGCCTAGACTGAAGAAGGGTCTAGGCC